GAAAAGAAAGAAAGAAAGAAAGAAGTTATTATAGCTTGAGACTAGAAGGTTCAAGGAGGAAAGGACAAAGGAAAAAAAAAAAAACGTTTTAAAACGTGGTTTGAGGCTTAGCTGCCAAGCTGCTCAGTTACATGGCTGTGGCCACTGTGGAGATGGTGCCAGCCTGCGCTCCACACCTCAAGACAGCCTTCAGGGCAAGACACAGCCCCTGCACCTGCACAACTCCAGCATGGCTTTCACACCAGGCTTCCCTTTTTTAAGCCCCTGCCCTCAGCCCAAACTTTGGAAGTGGTTTCTTTAAGGTCTTGGCATTTCCCATCAGATAGCATTTCATCAGTAAAGCTGCTCTCCTTTGAACACACCTTGCTTCTTGTGAGCAGCTGAACTTGAGTTGGTTACATGAAGACAACTATTTCCTGAGGGAGTATCACTTTACTGTGGAAACCAGAATGTGGAGGGCAGCTTTGGTTTCCTGGAGTGGTAGAACACTATTGATTACCTAACTGGTTTTGAGGTTTAAATCCTCCCTTAAAAGAACTGTAGTGGTTTGAATGCGGCCCCCATGAAGATCTTTCTCTGGGGCTTGTGAATGTGACTGTATTTGGAAAGAGTGTTTGCAGAATACCTAGTTGATGCCAGAGAAACAGTGTTTGCAGGATACCTAGTTCATACCAGAGACTGGTGTCTAGACAGTGGCAGCTCTCCCCAGCACCTGAACATGCCGGTTTCCCAGCACCTGCTTGGATGGGAGTTTTGTTTCTTTTGGAGGGCAGAAGCGATGGGGTGCAGCGCTATCCAACACATACCAAGCTCTCATTTTGCAGAAGCACGTTGTCTTAGACTGCAAGCTAGATAATGTAAGCAGACACAGACAGAGGTCTCTGCCCTTGGTGAGTAACCATGGAGAAAGTGGTAAGAAAGGAATGTGTTGGATATCATCTGTCCTCTTCTTCTCAACTATAATGCAAGTCTGTACTTGCCATCTTCGAGCCCCAACACTGCACACCTGGCCATTATTTAATCTAACTGTGATCCACTCGTCCAGTGCAATAGGCCAAACATCAACTCTGAGGTTTGTGGCAGGAAAAAGGAAGGTGTTTATTTGCAGGATGCCAAGCAAGGAGAATCAGGCAGCTCACACTTAATATCTGACCTCCACAGTGGCTTGCAAGAAAGGGTTTTTAAAGGCAGGGCGGCTGGTGCAAAGGTAATGAGTTATCACGATTGTTCACAGTCAGTTACACATCAAACGCCTTGTTCTACTCTTTCCCCGATTCTCACTACTGCATCTGACTAGTCATTAAAAAAAGAAAAGGAAGAAAAAAAAGAAAAAGAAAAGAAAAAGAGAAAAAAAAAAGGCAGGGTAAATTTTAGGAAAGCAGAAATTACAAGCAAAATTGTAAATCAATACATTGAAATTACGCATTGGTTTAGCCTCAAAAGGACAGGATACCTTGAAGCGGAGGCTTACAGGTCATAGGTAGAATTCACAGATTTTTCTGATTTGCAATAGGTTAGAGAAGAGCAGCTTTGTTTAACATTTGGGGTCAGTAGAAAAGAACGTTAAGTCTGTCTCTTGGGAACGACTTCCTCCAGGGCCCTCAGGAGGAAATTTAAGACAGTACCAGTTAGAGTTTAGTCCTTAGGCCCCTTATCTGAGGTTTATGTGCCAGTGAATCCTTGACCAGCAAGGAGCATGCCTTTGATATGCAAACTAACCCATTCAGACCCATACCTCCAATATCTGACAGGACACTCCAGGAGGCAACATTCCTCCGTCTTATGCATCCCAGAATCTGGTGCCAGGCAATTAGGAGCCATCCCTGTAACTCAAAGCCCATAGAAATCATTCAAACTAGCCAATCCTACACTGTTCCCCTTGCCCTGCTTTGACTCTCTCCAAGAAAACCACAATAAAGTTAGTGGCCCAAACCTTCTCCTTGCTCCCGTCTTTTGCTTCCTGCCTCCTGGTGTCTTTGCCATGTGGCCCTGCCTGGCCTGCTGTGCCTCCTGTCTCTAGGATCTGTGAGTAGAATGCACTTCGTCTTTTCCTAAGACTCTCCTCCATCTTCTCTTGTGGCTATACCTGATTGATCCTCACGTAAAAAGGTACAAAATAGCAGGTATCCAACCCCTCCGTATTTTGACAAGGCATAGGAAGACCAATATAATGGGGGCAGGATAGACAAACCATACCAGAGCTTTTTTTTTTTTTTTTTTGAGACGGAATCTTGCTCTGTCACCCAGGCTGGAGTGCAGTGGCCGGATCTCAGCTCACTGCAAGCTCCGCCTCCCGGGTTCCCGCCATTCTCCTGCCTCAGCCTCCCAAGTAGCTGGGACTACAGGCGCCCGCCACCTCGCCCGGCTAGTTTTTTGTATTTTTAGTAGAGACGGGGTTTCACCGTGTGAGCCAGGATGGTCTCGATCTCCTGACCTTGTGATCCGCCCGTCTCTGCCTCCCAAAGTGCTGGGATTACAGGCGTGAGCCACCGCGCCCGGCCACAATTTTTTTTTTTTTAAAGCAGGTGATGGAAAAAGGGTGGTTCCCCTGCCATTTGGTTGTGTGATTAGAAGACAGCCCTTTGTCACATAGTTGTCGGCCTGCCTGTGATATTCTTGGCTATGGCCAAGATGTGTGAGGTAAGCCCCTGGTTCCTCCCACTTCCGTGTATTCCTGAGGACTCTGCTTTCCCACACTTAGAGTTTTGCATCTTCTCACAGGGAATTTCTATGGTTCTCTGTACTTTGGTGATTATATGCACATTAATCATGGTGACCTGGCTATAGGCTATGGTTTCAAGAGAAGATAAAGTTCCCAATTGGCCTCCGATGGGCAAAACAGGTACAGATGGACCCCCTGGGCTTTGCCCTTGATGAGCTCATGATTGCTAGAAACCATCCCCCAGATGCTGGACCACTGGCACTCTACCGGCTGCCCTATATATGGGTCTGGGCTGCTGGAGGTACCTGGTCTTTCAGTGGTCCCCTAAACACTCCCTTTCCTGTGGCCAGTCTGCCCTAAGCAAGTTTTCCAACCTCTAGCCTTGCTGCATGGACTAGTAGTGGGCACTGACCATCACTTTTAAGACCAAACAGTATCAGTGTTTGTTGCTAATATTAAGTGTGGCTGGAGACTGGGTGTGCTGGCTCACACTTACAATCCCAGCACTTCGGGAGGCCATGGTGGGAGAAGCTCAGGAGTCTGAGACCAGCCTGGGCAAAATAGTGAGAGCCCGTCTTTAGGGGAAAAAATAAAACAAAATAAAAGTGGGCTTATTTGATGGAATTGCTGAAGTGCTATAATCATCGCTGAGTCGTCTACATAACTCTGCAAGCAGAAGTACTTGTGTCTGGTCCAACTGCTTTTGGCAGAGGAAGGGAAACCATCTCACAGGAGAAAAGTGACTTGGACAAGATCTCCACAGCTTCAACGCTGGCCTTCTCTTTCCTTTGTACCACAGTATGATTTAGGACTGATAGGGACCCTCCCACCAGTGGCCTCATCTTTTTGTTTCTTCTTCTAGCTGAGGCAAGAGTTGGGGAGATAAAGAAAACAGAAAAAAGACTAAGGTTGGCTTAAATCTGTGGTGTGACCAGGAGTACAATCTATCCCCAGTGTATGAAACAGTTATTTCTTCTTCTTTCTTTTGGGGAGGGGCCAGATCAGGTGACCAGAACTATCTAAAGCCTACAGGTCTTAGAAAACATCTTTTGGTTGTGCTTCACATTTTATGTTATTTTTTTTTGAGATGAAGTCTTGCTCTGTTGCCCAGGCTGGAATGCAGTGGCGCTCCACCATTCACAGCAACCTCTGCCTCCTGGGTTCAAGGGATCTTCCCCCACCTCAGCCCCCCAAATAGCTACAGGCATGTGCCACCACAGCAGGCTACTATTTCTACTTTTTTTCGTAGAGATGGGGTCTCACTAGTTGCTCAGGCTGGTCTCAAACTCCTGACCTCAAGCAATCCTTCTGCCTTGGCCTCCCAAAGTGTTGGGATGATAGGAATGAGCCGCCACGCCCGGCCACATTTTACTTTTCAAATGAAAATGAAAAGCCTAACAGGAATGTTGACTCAGTGAGTTATTATGCACCTGTGGTTTTGTGGCGATGCCAAGGGATCAGAGGAACGAAGAGGGAGGATGTTGCTCAGATGGGGTCTCAACCTCCAGAGCAAGGTGGAGACATAGCTCCAGCCAGCTACCCAGCCCCTGGAGTCGGGGGGAAGGACCGAGGGGTAGGTGTTCTCTGCTAAGGCCAAAGGTATCAGTGGTCAAAAGGGAGACAAAGATCACTGGGGTGCAGCCCCCTCCACCACCGTGGTGAAGGGTGTTGGGCTGGAGGGTTGGCAGACCTCTCCTGAGAGCCGGTTCCCCCAGCTGCTCCTGCTGCAGGCCTCTCCTGAGAGCCGGTTCCCCCAGCTGCTCCTGCTGCAGGCCTCTCCTGAGAGCCGGTTCCCCCAGCTGCTCCTGCTGCAGGCCTCTCCTGAGAGCCGGTTCCCCCAGCTGCTCCTGCTGCAGACCTCTCCTGAGAGCCGGTTCCCCCAGCTGCTCATGGCATCAACCTGGGTTTCAGCTACATCACCCAGGAGGATTTCCAAATCCAGAGGCAATTCCATTTCCTGAGGTGCCTTGGTTGGCTCTGCATCGGTGGTGGGGACTCAAGAGACAGCCTCCCTGTGGTTTCCAGTCCCCTCACATTCCCTTTGTCGCTTTCTCCTTCATGATGTGGTTTTACACAGAAAACACTCTGGTAAGTAGAACAATGTTCTTCTCTGAGTCAGACGTCTGAAGCAGGAAGGTGAACAACCTTCTCAAGACCTCAGAGGTACTGAGAGAATCCTCAGGACAGGTAGGAGCACACAGGTAGGTGGGGTAAACGTGCACAGACAGCCTGGCTTCTACTTGGAATTTTCCCCTCCCTTGGCCTTAAAAATCGGATTTCTCCCTTTTCCAGATATGATACAAGAGACAAACTATTTAGAAAGCAAAAGCCTCAACCGTTTGTGTTCAAAGTATAACCAAATGATTTTATTGCATTTACTGCTCCTGGGCACGCAGAGGCATCTACACAGAAACAGTAGTTGTGGTTATAAAATCTTTTAACGAGTTTGGGGCAGAGGCTTTTAAATTATTTTTGAGACAGGGTCTCATTCTGTCATCCAGCTTGTGCAGTGGCGCAATCTTGGCTTACTGCAACCTCTGCCTCCCAGACTCAAGCAATCCTCCCACCTCAGCCTCCAGAGTAGCTGGGGCTGCAAACATGCACCATCACACCCAGCTAATTTTTTGTATTTTTGGTAGAGATGGGGTTTTGCCATGTGGCCCAGGCTGCTGTCACTGAGCTAGGCGATCCACCCACCTTGGCTTCCCAAAGTGTTGGGATTACAGGTGTGAGCCACTGCGCCCGGCCCAGAGTTTTCTTGATGTGAAAATTATGTGAGTGACAAGGAGCACCAGGAGCTCTGCCTGGCTCACTGCCTGTTGGTAGGATCTGACATATGAATAATACAAAATACCCGTCTGGTGTGACTTGCAGATTAAGTCACTGCTAGACTACAGCCTTGATGCCCTCTCTTGCTGACCCTAGCCAACATAACCAGTCTTCCAGGAACAATACCACGTTTTAAATTGCTTGAGGTTTCACTACCCACTGTCACTCAGTCCAGAATCCCAGCAGGAGACACAGCTCCAGCTGGCCTGCCCAGCCCCCATCAGAAGGCAGGGAGGAGGGGAATTTGTCAGCCTTAAGGCTACTGAGTAAGATTCTTCCATGCAGAGGACACCTGCCCTGAATGCCAAACTTGGGTCTGAACACTGCCTTCGAACAGTGAGCAAGCTCACTCAAGTTTGTATTGACTCATCTGTGAATCAGGAATGATAGCATACCTCACGTTTATCCGGAGTCACGGGCTGAATGCTGTCCCTTTCAAATTCCAATGTTGAAGTCCCAACCTCTAGTACCTCAGAATGTGACCTTATTGGTAAACAGCTGCTGCGGACACAGAAGACATTATAATGGAGTTGGTGGGATGGGCTCTATTCAGATATGACTGGTGTCCCTAAACAAAGGGAGGCTTGGGGACAGACACGCCACAGCAAGACTGCCACGTGGGGATGAAGGCAGAGAGTGCGTGACGCTTCCACACACCAAGGAACGGCAACTGCCAGCAAAGGCACGAAGCCACTTCTCCCTCACAGCCCTCGGAAGGCACCAACACTGAGGACATCCTGATCTCGAATGTGCAGCTCCCACAACTGTCAGGGAATACACTCCTGTTGTTCTAAGCCAGCCAGTGTGCGGTACTTCGTTACAACAGCCCTAGCAGGGAATACACTCCTGTTGTTCTAGGCCAGCCAGTGTGCGGTACTTCGTTACAACAGCCCTAGCAGGGAACACACTCCTGTTGTTCTAGGCCAGCCAGTGTGCGGCACTTCGTTACAACAGCCCTAGCAGGGAATACACTCCTGTTGTTCTGGGCCAGCCAGTGTGCGGCACTTCGTTACAACAGACCTAGAAAATGGACACACCAGCACTCCAAGCTAATGTATATGTAAAGTGTGATGTCAGGGAAGGTTCTGTTCTGGAGCTTGGCTCACGGGACAGGAGAACCCCTCACTGGGGGCTGAGCTCCACATTCCCAGACAGGACAGATTGGAAGAAGGGACTTAAGTGCCTTTTAAACGATGACCACACAGCTTCCAGCACGCAAGCATTTACCAAGGATCTCTGGGGTATAAAGACACTATGGGGTGGGTGTGCAACACAAATTAAAATGTAAGCTTTGTTTTCGGTGAGCTCCAGATGCTTAGTAACTGGCCCTCAGGAAAATCAAAAGGTATGATGACTGTTACCAAACCTGAAGAAGGAGCTCTGCAGACCCCTGCCACAGACTCCAAGCCCAAAAGGGCTGCCTGATCATCTTGGATCTGCGGGGTGCTCCTGCCTACCTGATGGCCACCAATCTTGGGCTCAGACTTGACATGTCTGGCTCAGTGTGCCTGACCCTGCTCCCCACTGAACCCGTCAGTCCCACCCTGCCTTCTTCCCTCCTCCAATCCAACACCCTCCAGCAGCTTCTCAGTGGAAGTGCAGGCACCCTGAAGCTTCAGGTTCAGACAGGGAAGGGAGGGAGGGAGTATACTGAGGTTTGGCTGGTGACCAGGGTGCCGCCCCGACGGGGGATAACCGTTTTACTCCCCGAGCTTGGGGAGCACGGGGCAGGGGTCTCTAAGACGCAGAACATCTGGCATGTCCAACCTGGTGGTGGCACATCCCCCCGTTTTTTGGCACAGCAGAAACAGAACTCTCACTTGGCCACTCTTTCAATGCCCGGGGGAGGGAGAGTGCTCCCATGGTACCACCCGAAGGCTCACTACCTGAGAGCAAGGACAGGAGGGAGGTGTGCTCTCTATCCTGGGGAAGGGGCGTCCTGGGTGGGGGCGCTGATCAGTACCAATGTGAGGGGGCAGCACCGGCCAGGGTGAGGCCGCCCCAGGTGGGCAGGCTCAGTAGGAGTTCAGAGCCTGCTTGGAACGGCGCTTCATGTGTAGGCGCTCGTGGCGGAGGAGGTCATAGTTCTGCGAGAAGCTCTTGACGCAATACCGGCACTGGAAGGGCCGGGCTTTGTCCTTCAGGTGAAAGTGGCTGCGGTGCCGAGCCAGGTGGTCGTGCCGCTGGAAGGCCTTCCCACAGTCACAGCACTGGAAGCTCAGCTTGGCCTTGCCATTTTCCAGCGGCTCTTTGGGACCCTCGTCCGCGTCCTCGGACGCCTCCTGCTCTCTCTTCTCCACCGGCTGGAGTCTGTCCGGCTGCAGGTGTATCCGCCGGTGGGAGAGCAGGTGGGAGTTGAGTCGGAAGCTCTTCCCGCAGGCACCACACCGGTAAGGCTTCTGGGCCTCGTGGCTCTCCAGGTGCCCATCCAGGTCCTCGCTGTCACTGAATAGCTCCCCGCACACTGAGCACTCGTGCGGCTTCTCCTGCTCCCTGCGGCTTCGCAGGTGTCGGATGAAGTTGACCCTCCAGCGGAAGATTTTCCCACAGTTCGGACACACGTAGGACTTCTTGGAGGTCTGCACCTCGCCCCCAGCCTCGGCGCTGCCCCGGTGGGAGGCGGGGAGGCTGCGCTGCTTCTCTTTGGGGCTCTCCGGCTCTTCCGTGCAGTAGGGGCCGTGCTGGGAGTCTTCGTCCCCAGAGCTGGACAGAACGATCTCGATGGTCACTTCTTCGTCCAGGCTGTTCTCTAGAGATCGCGGGTTGCCGCCAGCTACAGGAAGGCAACATGCAGGTCAGCGGTGCTGCACAGGCCACATCCCAGCCCCTACGACCCCGGCGCAGGAAGACTCAGCTTGGAGTTTACAAACCCTTATTTTTACAATGTTCCTCGATGACCAGGGCGGCCTGGCCAGCCCTGCAGGGGCCACTGGTGTAGCCTGTGAGGAAGAAATCTTCAGCATAGGCCACGCTGTGTCCAGAGCATGCTGGACACTTTGCTCTCCCTCTTCCCAGCCATTTTCCCTTATCTTCACCCCCAACCCTTTTGATCTCTACCACCCCATCCCCCCAAGCTCTAGGAGTCTGTATTTATCCGTGCAAAGCCTTGGCCATTTACAGATCACGTACTTAACAAGGCATGGGGGAAAGCTCTATCAGGAGAGTGAAAGGCCTTGGGAGAGGAAGACTCTACACCCTACACATATCATGTGCTGGGCACCTGCATGCTCCAGCGACTGTGCTAGACTTCTGACAGGCACATTCCTATCTGCTCCTGCATGCAACCCGATGACCTATTGGTTGCCATGTTTACACATAAACTAAGGTGATCTGTCCCAGAAAGGAGGGCTGAAATGCTACTCAGCCTTGCTGGGCTGCTCAACAGTCCCAGACTGTGGGTGCCCCACGGCTCCCCGGCTCCCAGTAGCACCGCATTTCTGAGGCTACAGGTGGTGATGGGTAAAGCTGCTCTGGACTTCCTGCATCCTGAGTCTGTGATGCTGGGAAGGTGGAACCACGGGGAGGGGCTGGGTGGGCAGTGCAGAGCCCGGCCTGAGTTCTTGGCTTATGGAGCAGAGCCCATCATACAGGTGGCCTGTTTCCTCACTGCTGTGAAATGCAGAAGTCAAATCTAGAACTTGGGGGAGTGAATCAGGCCCTCCTAGATATGAGTAGGAACATGGTTGGTCTGGGCTTCATGGCTGTGGGGAGGAGAGCCCTGACGGGTCAGAGCAGCTCAGGACAGGATAAGCTAGACAAACGGAAGCAGCGCGAGGAGACACAGAGGCTATGGAGAGCAGAGAGATGAAGGGCAGTGGTGGAAGCGGTGGGGGCATTTGTCCATCAGTCACAAGGGGGTCGGGGGAACATGAGTCTGCAAGTGGGTACTGAGTCTGCCAAGAACCCATGTAGTGTAGGAGGGAAATCACCAGATGAAGACATAGATTGTGTGTGTGTGTGTGTTTTAAATTTTTTGTAGTGATGGGGTCGCACTATGTTGCCCAGGCTGGTCTCAAAACTCCAGGGCTCAAGCAATCCACCCATCTCAACCAATCCACCTGCCTCAGCCTCCCAAAGTGCTGGGATTACAGGTGTGAGCCACTGTGCCCCGCCGAGAGGCTATGTTTGACGCTCATCTCGACTCTTGGTTTTCTAGCTACAGGTACCTCGTTCCAGCCAGACAGCTTCTCAGAGCTTGGGTAACCTCGTCTATAAGGTGAGCATGACAGTGGCAGCCAGTCGATCTAAGGTGCTGGTGGGGCAGGTGAGGTCATGTGTGTGATGTACTCTGTGGACCTCATTGGGTGGAGACAAGAGCAAGGTGTAACTTTTACCAGGCTGCCGACAACACGGTACTTGATCGGCAGTTGGCTTCTGTTAATGGATCTGGGTGGAAGAAGAAAACAAAGTGACCAGGTGGGCCGCTAAGATCTCTTACTTGTTAACTGGGTGAGGAGACGGAATTGTGAGAGCAGACAGTGCGTGTTATTGTGTCCCCCTGAAAATTCACATGATGAAGCCCTAACCCATAGGGCCTCAGAACATGACTACTTGGAGACAGGGTCTTTCAAGAAGTAATTAAATCAAAATGAAGTCACATGGTGGGGCCAATCCAAAATCACTGGTGTCCTTCTAAGAGGAGGAGATTGGAGGCAGACTTCAACAAAGGGAAGGACCCTGTGAGGACACAGCAAGATGGGAGCCGTCTCCAAGTCAAGGAAAAGGCCTCGGAAGACACCAGCTCTGCTGATGCTTTGATTCTAGACTTGTTGCTTCTGGAATTGTGAGAAAATAAGTGTCTGTTGTTTAAGTCACCCAGCCTGTGGTACTTCGTTATGGTAGCCACAGTAGACTAACATAGACTTTGGCCCAGGAAGTAGGGTGCAGCTAAAACAAAGACCAAAAACTGTCGAAGTCATTTTAGAACTAGGTAATGGGTAGAGGCTAGGAGAGTTTTGAAGTGCATGTTTAAAAAGCCTTGAGGAGGTGGCTGGTAGAAATACAGACATTATAGGAAACTGGAGAAAAGGAGATCCTCCAATTATAAAGTGGCAAAGAATTTGGCCAAAACTCTGTGGAAACAGAAATTGTAAGTGACGAACTTGGATACTGAGCTGAGGAGATATCTAAGCAAAGTGTCAAAGGCAAAGACTAGTTTTTTGCTGCTTACAGTGAAACGTGAGATGGGAGAGAAACTCAGGAAGGAACTGTTATAGCAAAAAGGAACCATGACCTCAAGATTTGGAAAATTCTGTCTGTCCATTCTGCAAAAAATAAGAAATGTGCCCACTGGGGAGACATCAAGAGTGAGGCTGGCTCATCATCTGTTGAAGAGATTCTGAGTGTGATTCATGGATCCAATCTACCATCTCAAGAGAAGCCAGGAACACAGATGAGGTTATCCAGGAAGGTCTATGGAGGACACCCTCGTCCGACGGCCTGCAACCCTGTGAACTACATGGAGGGCAGGGTTTCTGAGTGTTATACACCAGCAGAAACACTGCCAGTTGGGACTGAAACAAAAGAAGGCTATTGGACTTCTGGGATTCTACAAACTGGCCAACAGAGCTATCTGGCTATGAATATGGACTATCCTTCAGGAAAAGGGAAGAATGATTCCAAAGGTGGCTCAGAGGGTACAGGGCTGCCGCTGTCATCACGGGACCAGAGGGTACAGGCTCAGGAGGTGAAGTCGTTTCCTTCTGAGTTCCAAAGAGCAGGGCCAGTAGCCTGCTGGGCCTGGAGAACAGAGAACTGAGCCAAAGGTTATTCCTGAGCCTTAAAATCCCATGGAAATGACCTGCTAGATTTTTTTTTTTTTGAGATGGAGTCTCGCTCTTGTTGCCGAGGCTGGAGTGCAATGGCACAGTCTTGGCTCACTGCAACCTTTGCCTCCTGGGTTCAAGCAATTCTCCTGCCTCAGCCTCCTGAGTAGCTGGGATTACAGGTTTGTGCTACCATGTCTGGCTACTTTTTGTATTTTTAGTAGAGAAAGGGTTTCCCCGTGTTGGCCAGGGTGGTCTCGAACTCCTGACCTCAGGTGATCCGCCCGCCTCAGCCTCCCAAAGTGCTGGGATTACAGGCACGTAATACACACCTAGCCCTGACCTGCTAGATTTAAGACTTGCTTGGGACCCATTACCCTTTCTTCTCTTGGATTTTTCTTTTGGAACGGGAATGGTCTATGCTATGCTGTTCTCACAGTTGTACTTTGGAAGCAGAAAACATCTGGCTTCACAGTTCATAGCTGGAGAGGATTTTGCCTCAGGATGAATCATACTTCAAGTCTAACCCATACCCATTTGAGACGTTGATATTTAGAGGAGATTTTGGACTTACAGTTGATGCTGAAATAGGCTGAGAATTTGGGGGCTGTTGGGATGAGGTGAATGGATTTTGCATGTGGGAGAGACATGGATTTTGAAGGTCCTGAGGGTGAGGTCTTACAGGGGATGAATTGTGTTCTCCCAAAATTTCATGTTGAAGTCCTAACCCCAAAGGACCTCAGAATGTGACTGTATTTGAAGATAGGCTCTTTCAAGATGTAATTAAGTTAACATGAGGACATATGGGTGGGTGGGCTCCACAGTCCAATATGACTGGTGTCTTTATGAGAGAAGATCAGGACACTGACAAACACAGAGGTAAGACCACGTGAGTACACAGCAAGGCAGTGGCCATCTCCAAGCCAAGGAGAGAGGCCTCAGAAGAAACCAGCTCTGCTGACACCTTGATCTTCTATTAGTTGCCTCTGCAATAGTGAGAAAATAAAATTCTGTTGTTTAGGCCACCTAGTCTGTGGTACTTGTTATGAAAGCCCTAACAGAGTAATATAGCTCACAGTGGACAACATCACCTCAAATCAGCTAAAATGACCAAAATTCGATGCATAATTTCTACAAAAGGGGAAATAAATCAAGGATAGTCCTATTATGTGCTATCAACACAACAATATGAAGAAAATTCCTTGGAGAAAGCAGATGAGACTGCTAGAAGTCTGCCCAAAACACCAGAGGGTAAGCAACATCTGGGAGTGTCCTGTGTGGGCGTGGATATAGAGAAGCAGACCTGTCACCAGCTATCCGGCATCAGCTGGCAGGAAAAGCCTTTTAGGAAGGCAAGCTGGCAGGAGCTACCAAAATAAAAACAGTGCCCACTCTTTGAAATCTATCATCTCTCCCTTCTCAGTAGCAACCCTTGGCTTCTGACTGTTTCAGAGCAGTCTGTGTCAGAGTCCAACAAGGGAAGAACGGAGTTGAAAACTCCTGTGTACAAATGAACATCCATCCATCTTCTAAAAGTATATTAATGGGGCTGAGAGACATGCTATGGGCAGAAAGAAGCTGGAGAAGATTCAAAGTGCATCACAAACATCAAGCCTGCGCTTGAACTCCACGTGGACCCCAAATGAATGCATCACCCTTGGCATGCAGAGGTGGGCTTCTCAGAAAACCAGGGGTGGGCATCCATGCTTGTGGAGCAGGATCTCATCCTTTCAGATCTCCCACACTAGAAAAGCCCCTTTGTCCATGCATGAAAGGGGGCCAAGTACCAGATGCATGGAGCTGGGTCAAAATGGCACAAATCTTGCCTTCAAAAGCATCACAGGTAGAACACATAATGCGTGTGAGTCGGTCTCCATAGCTGCAGAAAACTACAGTGACACGTGGGTTCCGGTAAGAATCAGAGGCTTGGGTTTGATATTTAGAACTTATGAAAGACGGCAGCATTGCAGCCTCTGCTTCTGGAGGTGGTGACTTTTACCAAGACGACTCAGAGTCTACACTGTGGCTATTTCTCTGAAAGCAGGAATGGAACATACACTTTCCAAGAGTCCTGTGCAGCTTCAGTACACTAGAAACCTGCTCTTTAATCCCAATTCCAAGACCCTGTGCCAGGATGTTGGTCATCCATGCTGAGAGAAGAAAAACATTCGCACATCACCAACAGCACTACAGCAGCACCCTGCTTTGACACACCCTCCCTGGTCCCCAGAAAAGGCAAGGAGGGTGAGCCTGGGACTGGGAGTGAGCTGGAGAATGACCACAGCACAGAGGAATCTGGGCAAGCAGGTAAGAACACCACCGCAGCGGTCAGCGGAGATCCTGAGAAGTTCAATTCCTAACTGTCCCATGCCCTCACCACCACACATTTCCATCACACACCCACATGCCCCCAACACACAGGTGCACCTGGGAACGCACACACGCACACATGCAGCACACCACACACACCATGTGTATGCACGCACACATGCATTCCACACCACCATCCCCCATCCACACGTGCACACATACATTCATGCGACACACCAGATACACACGTGAACACACAGACACACAGGCACACACCCCACACCTCCCTGGCCCTTCTTTACCTGGGTAGGTGTTTTGAGGCACCACCGTCTGTGGGCAGGCCTGGAACCCCGGCACCTGCAGCTCCTCACGTTTCCTCCTTTCTTCTACTTGGAATGGCTGGAGACTTGGAGAGTCTTTCCAGAGGAGGAAACGGAAAAATTGATTTGTCTTGCACCTACAGCACTACCTGGGAGGGTGCTATCTGAACAGATGCCAGGCTATGATCTGGGGGCGGCCCTGGGCTCCCTCCTGGGGACTGGCAGGGGGCGGCCACTCAGGAAGTGTCTGCTGAGCGAATGAACTTGAAGGCAGAATGGGCCAACTCCACAAACATGAGCTCTGAAGCTAGACAGAGTCTACGCAGATCCGGGTTCTACTCTACTTACTCTATGGCAGAGACAAGTACCTCCCCGAGCCCCGCATTTATTCCCACTTTCTGTGGTGGGTTTTCCGTAGTCATCACCACAGGCTTCTGCACACTCTGCACACATCCTGCACAAACAGCTTGTGCAGAGCCTACGGGGTAGAGATGGGACAGGAGCTACTGTGCTACGCCGTCTCTGAACGCTTGTTCCAGGTGGGGATGGTGTGTCAAAACCTTGTCTGCTTCACGCTCTAGGTCCCAAAGGGGAAGGAGGTGTGGAGCTGCTGCTGATTCTGTCAAATTTCCTCCTGAAGGAGCAGGTGCCTCGAAGCACCATGGCATGGAGATCATGGGTGCAAGCGCTGGTGACACAGCCTGAAGGAGGGCTGGAAACTGCTGCTGCTGAGCCCCAGCACCTCCCCACACCCCAGTGTCCTCACAGCACCCCTGCACCAGGCAGATGGAAGACTAGACAGGTGAGGCACCTCAAAGGGCTGTGCTCGGTGCCCAGTTAGGAGGAGACACTCCCTCTGCAACCAGGCTTGTCGTGAGTATCTGACCTCACTCCTGGAGGGGCCGCTGGATGGTCAGCACAAACCAGATGTTACTTACAGGCAGAGGAGACAGACATTCCTATTATTTCCCAGTCCTTGGCTGAGGGAGTACAATCCCAATGCCTGGCAAAATTAAGATCCCCCATTCTTTCTATGAAAAGTCAGGGACAAGGCAAGACATGCAAGACCCACATAGAGTCTGGGGAAATGAAGAAGGCAAGTAGGGGCTGCAGAGAGAAGCCAGCAAATGGGTTCATCTCTGGCTGCCAGCAACCCTTCACCCTACTCTGTCCACTCAGTTCCGGAATCACTACTCACCCAAGTAGGAGACCTGGGGCACTTCTTTCCCCTGCAGATCCTGCGGCTCTGGAACGCGAGGCTCATTCTCCTCTCTCTGGGAGAGATCCGGCTGGGCCGCTAGCTCATCTGTTCAAAGAAAAAGGCAGGATACATGTTTATTAGTAATCTGATCCTGCAGCAACCAGGGCTGGTCCAGAAGAGAAAAGGTGGAGGGATGCCCAGCGGGCGTGGCACCATCAGGGGCGAGAAGTGAAAACGCCAGAGCCGGCAGCGCAGGGGCAGTGGGGGCAGCACACGCAGGGAGAGCTATGGGCTTGGGGGTCTCTCTGAGGCTTTTGGGTGTAAAGCAGAAGTAAAGGGACGAAAGGGTAAGAGCGATGGAAGAGAAATGGACATACAGCACATGTTCTATTTGGTTCTGATAAGCCTGATGAGGTGAGACGGCAGGTGATCAGTCGGACACACTGCCTATAGGGCCGCTGTGTGCAAATGACTTCCCATCCAGGTTGGGGGTGAACAGAGAAATATGATGCAGGCCCCGCTTCCCTGATCTTATGGGACGAAGTTGACTCTTACTCCAAGTGAGAACCCCCTGCCCAGTTCCCTGGTCTTGAGGTACGGGGGAAAGTTAAGTCTTACTTGGAGGAATTGAGACCCCGCAATCCTCCCCAATGATGAACTCTCCATAGAAGCCAGTCTGGGCAGGATCTAGAAGGGACCAATCCTCTTCAGAGAAGCATAAAATCATGTCCTTGAACGGAGAAACCCGATTCTGAAAGCACAGTAGAACAGGGATGCCTCAGTCCGGGACGAGCTAGGTGTCTCAGTCTTAGTCCATTGAGGCTGTGATAACTCAATGCTGTAGGACAGGCAGCTTCTACACAACAGAAATCTGTTCCTCACAGTTCTGGAGGCTGGACATCCAAGATCAAGGCACTAGCAGGCTGGGTGCCTGGTGAGGGCCCACTTCTTGGTTCAAACACAGGCATCCTCTGTGTCCTCACAAGATGGAGAGGGCAAGGGAGTTCTCCGGGGCCTCTTTTAGGAGGGACTAATCCCACTCATGAGGACTGTGCCCTTGTTACCAGATCATCTCCCCAAAAGGCACCACTTCCTAATACCATCATCTTGGGGATTACAATTTCAACACAAATTTTGGGGAGATACAAACACTGAAACCATTGCATTCTGCCCCGGTTCCCCCCAAATTCATATCCTTTTCACATGCCAAACAAATTCATTCCATCCCAATAACCCCCAAAGTCTTAATTCATTCCAGCATCAACTCAAAAGTCCAAAGTCCAACATCTCATTTAAATATTATCTAAATCAGTTACGGTTCAGACTCAAGGCACAATTCTACCTGAGACAAAATTTTCTCCAGCTGTGAACCTGTGAAATGAAACAAGTTATGTGCCTTCAAAATATAGTGGTGAGGCCAGCGTGGTGGCTCACACCTGTCATCTCAGCACCTTGGGAAGCCAAGGCGGGCAGATCACCTGAGGTCAGGAGTTTGAGACCAGCCTGGCCAACATGGTGAAACCTCATCCCTACCAAAAATACAAAAAGTAGCCCGGCGTGGTGGTGGGTGCCTGTAATCCCAGCTACTTGGGAGGCTGAGGCAGGAGAATCATTTGAACCTGGCAGGCGGAGTGCAGTGAGCTGAGATCGTGCCACTGCACTCCACCCTGGGCAATAGGGTGAGACTCCGTCTCAAAAAAAAAAAGAACCCCCCCCCCCCACACACAGAGGTGGAATGGCACAGGATAAACATTCCAATTCCAAAAAAGGGAAATAGAAAAAAAGAAAAGGAGTAACAGGTCCCAAGCAAGTCCTAAACCTACAGGTCACAGCACATTATGGTTTACGGCTTGAGATTAATCTCGAGAATAATCCTTTTTGTCTTGATACCGTGCTCCCTAGGCCCACTGTGTTGGGAGGTGACCCCACCTTCCAAACCCACAGGTGGCACCTTCACTGGGCAGGAGTTGAGCCCCCAAGGCCCTGGGTGGTCCTGCCCCACGGCAGCCCCTAGTGAGGGCCTGCCCTCAAGGGGGTTCTCTGTGGTGGCCCCACCTCTGTGGCAGCTCCACCTCTGTGGCAGCTCTGTGTCTCCTTCAGAGGTCCAAGGCTCTCTTGGGCTGGAACTTTGCTGATGGCCCTACCATCTAGGGCTTCAGGGGTGACTGAAGCGGGGCTCTCTGCTATGGTCCCCTGCTTGCTGCGGGTCTTGTGCTCTGGGCCTGTGATGGGCGGAACAGCTCTGATGATTTCTGAATTGCTTTTGGGGTCATTTTTCCATTTTCTTGGACTAGCTCCCAGCCTCAGTTTCAATGGCAAAACCTTTATCTTCTCTCCTAAACAGGCTGGCTCGCTCTTATCAACATAGGCTGACAAATATTCCTGATCTTTAAGTTCTGCTTCCCTTTTAAGTAACAGTCCCATCTTTAAATCACTTCTCTCTTTTCACATTTCACAAGCTGCACCTTCAAAACTTTGCTTAGATATTTCTGTGGCCGCATATCCAATTGCAGTGGCCTGTAAGTTCTACCTTCCACAAAACACTAATACATAAGCACAGTTCAGCCAAGTGATTTGCCACTATAAGAAGGATAGCCTTTCCTCCATTGCCAACCACACATTTCTCATTTCCATCTGGGATCTCATCAGAATAGCTTTACTGTTCACATTTTCACCAACATTCTGGTTGAGAATATCAAATCTCCTCTTTTCTTTTGGAGCCTCACCAGAATCACCAGTAATAGTCTGTTCATGGGCTGGGCACGGTGACTCACACCTGTAATCCCAGCGCTCTGGGAGGCTGAGGCTGGCAGATCACCTGAGGTCAGGAATTCCAGACCAGCCTAGCTAGCCAAAATGGCAAAACCCTGTCTCTACTAAAAACACAAAAATTAGCCAGGTGTGGTGGTGCACGTCTGTGATCTCCACTACTCAGGAGGCTGAGGTTGCAGCAAGCAGAGATCGCGTCACTGCACTCCTGCCTGGTGACAGAGCAGGACTTCATCTCAAAAAAAAAAAATTGCCTGCTCACGGCAACACAGGCTTTTTCCAGCCTGCACTTCAAACCCTTTCAGCCTCTACCCATTACCCAGTTCCCAAGCTTCTTCCATGCTGTATTTGTTATAGTAGCACCCCAAATTTTTGGTGCTACTTTTCTGTCTTAATCCATTTGGGCTGCTCTAACAAAATACCGCAGATTGGGGACTCATAAACAACATAAATGTATGTCTTACAGTTCTGGAGGCTGGAAGTCTCCAGCTGATACCCGCATAGTTGGGTTCTGGTGAGGGCCCAGTTCCTTGCTCCATAGATGGCCATCATTTCATTGTGTTCTCACATGGTGGAAAGGGCAAGGCTGCTCTCTGAGGCCTCTTTTATAAGGGCACTAATCCATTTATGAGAGATTTGCCCTCATAACCTGATCATCTCTCCAGTGCCCCACCTCTTAATGCCAGCAGCTTGGGGGCTAGCATTTCAACATGTCAAAGTTGTGGGGAGGGGACACAAAAACATTCAGACCATAGCACTAGGGGAGCAGGGGGTGGAAGCTGGGGCTGAGGGAAGAGCCCAAAGCAACATGTGCAGATAGAAGGGAGAGAAAGGAGACTGACTACCCCAGGTCCAGGCTCCAGGGGACACACTGCTTTGTAATTTCTGCTCTTGGATCCACCTCATCCCTATCTTGTTTGGCAAAACCCAAATGGCAGCTACCTTGCTGGGTGGCCAAGGATGTGGAGAAACAGGTCTTCCTACTCTGCTGGGGAGGCCGCACATCCACCACTCCTATGGTGGGCTGCTGGACAATGTCCAGAAGTAACCAGCGTGCTCACCCCTCAATGCAGAGATTTCTTAAGTTTATGTCGCACATGTGCAATGTGAAGTCTATAAAAGCTGCTTCACTGCAGCACTGATCTAATAAATACTGGAAACCTTGACACACATCAACAAGACAGCGGATTAAGTAAGCTACAGAAACCTCCCAAGGGATGATCCTACACGCACAGAAAGAACGAAGGCCTCTCTGCACCGAGAAGGAATTCTCTTCAAAGTGTGTTGTTGCAGGAAAACACCTGTGCATGATGGAATCCAGATGGCCACCAAGTACAGGGCGTAGGAGTTCCGAAGCTTAGCTGCCTCTGAAGAGGGACCTAGGACTCTGGGGTTAGGTGTAGCAGGGAGATTTTTTTCATAAACTTTGAATCATGGACCATGGGAATGTGTCAAAAAACTGATTTTAATTTCTATTTTTATCTTTATATTGTTTTAGACCGTCTGTCACCCAGGCTGGGGTGCAGCTGCACAATCACAGCTCACTGCAGCCTCAACCTCTGGGGCTCAATCCTCCTGCTCAGCCTCCCAAGTAGCTGGGACTACAGGCGTGAGCCACCACGTCTGGCTAATTTTTTACTTTTGTAGACATGAGGTCTTGCTGTGTTACCCAAGCTGGTCTCAAACTCTTGGGCTCAAGCAGTTCTCCCACCTCAGCCTCCCACAGTGCTGGGATTACCAGTATGAGCCATGGTGCCTGGCCTAATTTTTGTTTTAAAAATGATGGTATATCCATACAATACTAGGAAACCAGGAAAATAAAGCAGTCCTTTATATAATTGGAAAGGACCACAAAATAAAATTTTTGTGGAAAAAATAAAATTAACTCATAGGACTTTTATATTACTAGTATCTATGTGACAAGCAAAAAAGGAACAGAATAATTTTTAAAACATGCCTTGTATCTGCCTACCTCTCTGGAAAACTATCAGTTACTGTCAGATGGTTTCCCCAGGTGTTGGGGCCAGGCATCCAGGACAAGGCTGGGAAGGAGTGATTTTCTTTCTCTATTTTTTGAGGAAAAATAGAATGAGAGGGTGGGGGTAGGTGAAGAAGAGAAAGAAATAATGGGGAAAGTGAAGGAAAGGGTATTTGGAAGTCTCTGTACTGTTCTTGCAATCTTCCCTAACTTTAAAATTAATTCCAAAGAAAAAATTTAAAATAAAGAGAATACCTCAAAAATTCTAAAACTGCATCAGGGTTTTGGAACAAGGACTCTCGCCTGTACATATGAAACACAGGCACAGGCATCTTGGTAAAAATTCTGACTCAGTAGGTCAGGGGTGGAGCCTCAGAGGCTGCATCTGAATGAGCCCTAAGTGGACCTGCTGCTAGGAATAGGTCAGTGCGGAAAAGCCTCTGTCTTCCCAGGCTGTGCCACAGAATCCAAAACAGGCCTCGGGAAGCCACTGGATTTCCTTACAAGGACTTGTGGGAGACAACCTGATGTTGGTTTCTTAAACCATGGTTGACAAAAAATACAAAAGAATCCAGCACTCTGACAAGACTTCCCAGAAGGGTGTGTGTGTGTGTGTGTGTGTGTGTGTGTGTGTGTGTACGCGGGCAGAGTATACATTAACAACAGATGGGCTGCTTTTTCCTTTCAGCTTGGTTGTGTGTTTTTTTGTTGTGTGTTGTTGTGTGTGTTTTTCCTTTTCAGCCTTTTTTAGGGTTGGTTTTTCCTTTCAGCCTTGGTTAGGTGTTTGAGAATCTACTTGCTATAGTGTGAATGTGTCCCTGAAATGTCTTGTGTTGGAAACTTGATCCCTCACGTGGCAGGATTGAAAGGTGTGGCTTTTAAGAGGTGATGAATGGGTTGTCATGGGAGTGGAACTGGTGGCTTTGTAAGCGGAGGAAGAGAGACCTGAGCAAGCGTGTCAGGACACTCAGCCCCTCGCCATGTGACGCCCTGCACCCACCTCG